CAAGTCGCAGGATAGGGTCTGCAGTCTACCATCTTCGCTCATTTTCCTGAGCGAGACTGAGCCACTCTCCGATGCGAGTCTCGAGCTACTACCCCCTCAAGGCCTTCCCGCACCGCTATGCTCAGATGCTCGACTGCTATCTCCATGGCATGCCGATCTGCCAGTGTCCGACGAAATGTGATGGATGTCAGCGCGAGCTCGATCCCTCCGTTGCTGCACATCATCTCCAGACCTGCAAACGCCGATCCTCCAAGCTTCCCACGGCGCATGACAACCTTACTCGTACGATTCGGTCGATGCTGAACGAAGCTGGTCTTCAGAGCGTCATCGATACAGTGGGGGATCCTCGTTCTCGACGGCAGGTACCCTCCCATCCTCATGGCCGCAAGATGAAGGGCGATATCCACATCCCTGGAATCCGCGATCGAGGGTCCGAGCAGTACGAGGGCTTGATGGCGGACGTGACGTTGGTCCACCCTTACATTGGTAGCTCTGCCGACCTGACCAAGTGGGGGGAGGTCAACCTCGACGCCCTCCATGTTGCAGCGTCTGAGAAGATTCGCAAACATCGCGCTGCATATGCCATGACTACTCCTCCTCGAGCGTTCATCCCTCTTGCCATCTCGACGGACGGTACCCTGCATCCTGACACCCTCCGCTTCATCTGGTATTTGGCGGACATCATTGCTCAGCGCTCGATGCCTCTTGAGGATGCGGCGTTTGGTCGGCACTTCGTGCCTGATGACGGCCCTGCTGCTGAGGTCTTGGCTCGCAAACGCGCCGCCACCTATCAGCGCCTCACCATGCAGCTGACGCTGGAGGCGCTCTTGTCTGGTGCGAGGCGCATGACGCCCTTGCGGGCGCAAGCACTTCTCGAGCCAGAGGACAGCTCCTCCTCGGACTTTGTCGAGTCGCCCGAGGGGGAGTCTTCGCCGGAGGTCTCCGACTCCGATGGGGGAAACCCTTCGAGTGGCCCCGACGATCGGCGCGGAGCTGGCGAAGCGTCTCCGTCCCTCACTGTGACGTCGGGTGCCTCCGGAGAGCTCGACACCACTGGGGTGCTTGCTGCTGGTCCGAGCTCGCCTGCTTCCTCCCCGGCATCGGTCGCCGGGTCACGCCGGTCCTTGGGCATTGCCGCGGCGTCGCCGCCGTCACGGGCGGCTACCACTGACTTGGCTACCGCTGACTCGGAGGCTAGCGAGGAGGACTACCTCGAGCGGTACCGTGTTCATGTGTCCAGCCTCCCTCCGTCCGCTGCCCCAGGCGGACCCCCGGGCAACGCCGGCTCCTTGTCGGCGGCTGCCCTTTCTCCGTCCGCGGCCGCCCGCTTTGTGGCGGCAGCGGACGTCTCGACTGACAGTGGTCAGTCGGCTGCCTCCGGGTATCGCGTGTAAGGGATTTTATTCCTCCTGCATGCTCCTGCTGCTTGTTGCTTGATTGCTTGACCCTTAGGCTGCTTGTCTGCGCGGCTTCGCGCTTGGGCTGGCGCTGCCGCGTCTGGGTGCCAGCAGTGCTGGTTGTTTTCGGGCTTGTGTTTTGTGTGTGATTGTGCAGCTTCTCGCTGTGGACTGTGTACCTGCCGGTTCAGCTTGTTCCTGCTTTGTTTTGCTTGAGGCACTTTTTATCTTCTGCCAGTAAATCCTATAGCCTCGCTCAGAAAAATGAGCGAAGATGGTAGACTGCAAGACCCTATCCTGCGACTTGAGCGAGTACGTCCTTCGGCTGTGCAACTGAGTTTTACTCGGGCACGGTAAGAATGTCACGCAAGAGGGATGAACACTCGAGGAGGAGGAGTCATGGCATATGCAGCTGTTCCTGCTTTGTTTTGCTTGAGGCACTTTTTACCCTCTGGCTACCGATGACTCGGAGGCTAGCGAGGAGGACTACCTCGAGCGGTACCGTGTTCCGCTGCCCCAGGCGGACCCCCGGGCAACGCCGGCTCCTTGTCGGCGGCTGCCCTTTCTCCGTCCGCGGCCGCCCGCGCTGCATATGCTATGACTACTCCTCCTCGAGCGTTCATCCCTCTTGCCATCTCGACGGACGGTACCCTGCATCCTGACACCCTCCGCTTCATCTGGTATTTGGCGGACATCATTGCTCAGCGCTCGATGCCTCTTGAGGATGCGGCGTTTGGTCGGCACTTCGTGCCTGATGACGGCCCTGCTGCTGAGGTCTTGGCTCGCAAACGCGCCGCCACCTATCAGCGCCTCACTATGCAGCTGACGCTGGAGGCGAATAGTGGATTTACTGGCAGAAGGTAAAAAGTGCCTCAAGCAGAACAAAGCAGGAACAAGCTAAACCTCCAGGCACACAGCGCACAGCGAGAAGCTGCACAATCACACACAAAACACAAGCCCGAAAAGAACCAGCACTGCTGCGCAGGGGGAGGAATGAAGTGCTCATGAGACGAGTCGACGAGAGCGCGCAAACCAGGGATGTGTACCACAGATGCCGGGGGGCGTCCTCGCGTCATCAGGCACAGCAGCCGGGGCAGGTGGGATCGCCGCGCCATCTGCGATCGCTCCAGCATTATGAACGAAGTCGTGCGCCTCAACGAAGAAGGTCGCCAGAGGATGCTTCTGGGCACGGAGAGATCTCGAGCAGTGAACGTCCAGGCTATGAGGAGAGGTCAGCGTTCGGGACATGGGCTGGTCAGAGTACCAAGCGAGGAAGCGAGCGATAGCCGTATAGTAAACAGCGGGGTGTAGACCCTCCAAGGACCTGAACTCGTCCCCTGCTCAGTGCTAGTTCATGTGTCC